GAAACGAAAAAAGGTATATATATATATATGTATATCGGTTTTCTATTACAAAGGATATAGATGGCATTATGCGCCTAATGATGAGAGGTTATTAAAGACTGCAACCGTTCAGGAAAATCCAGACCGCCCTGAAACACAGTTTCTGAACTGGGCAAAACGGCAATCTAGACTTCTTAACGAGAACTACATCATCGATCGAGAGGTTGGGTGTTGAAGTGGTCCATTTCGGACGTTGTTGCAGAGTAGTCAGATACTCCTGATGCCATTTCTTCCAGAATCCTTGAAGCATAGCCTGGATGCTTTGCCAATATCCTAATCGGCCCACAGGGATGTGGCTTAAGTCTGGATCTGGCACGGTGGTTAACGGTCGCCCAATTAAGAAGTGGGCGGGTGATAAGTAGTTGTCTTCCGTATCAGATTTGTAGCATAAGGGGCGTGAATTTATCACTGCGCTGATTTGAGCAAGCAAGGTGCGCATCTGTTCGAAGGTGAGCGTTGAATTGCCGGTGACTCGGTGCAGATGCAGTTTGACACAGCGAACTGCCGACTCCCATTTCCCTCCCCAATGAGGAGATCTAGGGGGAACGAGTACCCACTGAGTTCCGTTATCCGCCAAAGTGGATGTGACGATGTCCTTGTGTCGTTGCGATGAAAGCAACTCTTGCATTTCGTTGAGGGATCGCCTAGCTCCAATAAAGTTTGTTCCGTTGTCGCTGTAGATCTTGCTACACTTGCCACGTAGGGATATGAAGCGCCGCAAGGCAGCCAAGAAGGTTTCTGTTGTCAGGTCTGTAACAAGTTCCAGGTGTATGGCCGAGGTGCAGACGAACAGGCAAATGTAGCCCTTGCTGATACGTGGCTTCCCAACTTTGGCATCCTTCAGAAAGATTGGACCTGCATAGTCGCAACCAGTATTGACAAATGGAAGGGCTTGAGTGACACGCACGCTGGGTAAGTCAGCCATTTGACGAAAGCAGCATAAGCAGTGTAATTCTGCGAATGAGATTACGTGCTCCATTATTCAGAATCTCTGCCAAACGATTACAAGGAAGAAACGCCAGGGTGAAGATTTACTCGGTGCTCGTATTCCAGGATCAGCTTCGAGATTCGGTGCGTTTTTGGTAGCAAAACTGGGTGTTTTGCCTCTCGTGACAATTGCGATTGGTGCAGTCTTCCGCCTACCCTCAGCAAATCGTTTTCGTCTATCATTGGTGCAAGTTTGACCAGCTGCGATCGGTTCCTTAGGGGTTTCTTGGCAAGGAGCAATTGATAGTCCTCGTGGAAACAGTGCTGCGCGTGTTTTATACAAAGGATCCTTGCTGCCTTAATCTCTTCAAATGTAAGAGCTCTTGAGGCCCTATCGCAGGACGGGTTTTGTGTGCGTTGAATGAATCGCTTCACATAGGCGACAATGTGAACGAGCTTGAGCCTAGAAGAAACTCGTGCGATCAGCTCATCGAGTGGATGAACCTGAGTTGCAACAGCCACTGTAGCCAAACAGTTGGACTTGACTTCTCCTTGAATGCGAATCGTTCAACTTTACCAGGTATTGTCCCGAAGCCACAAAGGTCCATTCCACCACAAATGGAAGTCGATGAGGTCAGCAGCCATCAGACCTCTGGAAGCGCAGTCAACTGCGTTTGATTTGGAGTCTACGTGCCGCCAGGCCTTCCTAGGAAGAGTGTCAAGGATTTCCGAGGTTCTGATGGATCCGTCGTCATTTGTAACTCTGCTGTACACCACAGCAGCATACTCCTTGGTTGAGGCATCTGAAAATCCGTGAAGTTCAATATTGTCTGCGTCGTTGGCAACGAAGCGTGGTAATTGAAATTTTTGTAGAGTGTCTAGATCTGCTCTCCACTTCAGCCAGTTGTCCGCTAGTTTGGTTGGGAGCGGGTCATTCCAATCCAAGTTTAAGAGCCAGAGTTTTTGGAAGATAATCTTAAATTGGATTACAATTGGTGCCAAGAGTCCGAGTGGATCAAATATCCTCGAGACGTCGGACAAGACCTGTGCAGTCAGGATTTGCCGCTAGAACTATGTTGTACGTTAGAATGTCTTTTTCAGGATGCCAGTATAGTCCGAGAACCTTAACTGGCGACGATTGTGCGTCGGTATCATCCGTTTGTATGAATGAGGTATTGGATACCCATTTCCCGAGTTCCAGATTTGCGCACGACATCAGCTGAATTAACTCGTCTCGGTTTCGACGTAGTTCATCCTCATTGTTTGACCCAGTAAGAACATCATCGACATAAAAATCCTCCAGTAGGATTTTTAAAGCATTCGGGTATTCATCTTGATGATCCACAGCGAGTTGTTCCAGCACTCGTACCGCCAGGAATGGTGCACATGACGTTCCGTAGGTTACAGTGCACAACTGGAAATGCTTGTTCGGATCGGACGGATCCTCTCTCCAAACGATCCTCTAAAAGTTTCTGAGCTTTTCGCTTACCCATATTTGGCGGAACATTTTAACGATGTCCGCTGAGAATGCGATCTTGTACATTCGAAAGCGTAGGCACACAGCAAATAGATCGCGCTGGATACTGGGCCTTGTGAAAAGAGTGTCATTTAAGGCCTTATCGTTAGCGTCGCGAAAGGATCCATCAAAGACCACTCGCAGTTTTCGGCCTAGCACTGGGTGATGAGGAACAAAGAACTGATTCCCAGTAGCGATTTCCCCAGACTGTGCCCCAGACTGATATACCCCCGCATAAAGTATACGTACTGTGTCCGCAGCTGCTCGTTTTGTTGTAGTCGTCGCTCCACCGATTTGAAACGTTTAAGAGCTCCGTGAAGAGTTTCTCCTAATTCAGGACTTTACGTGTTGAATGGAAGTTCAACAATGTACTTCCCGTTTTCATCGCGACTGTGGGTGGCAAGAAAGTGCTTCTCGACCTGGTCGTCTTCCGGTTCCAATTTTGTGTTGCTTTGACCGTTCTCCAGTTCCCAAAACTTCTGAAGCGTGTTGTCGATATCCATTGTTGTGGTTAGTGCAATAGCGTTGCTTGCGTTCGATGTAATGAGTGAAGTGATTACCCATCCGAATACCGACGAAATAGCGATAAGATTACCCTTGTTGTCGTACATCTTTCGTCCTATGAACACTGACCATACGTGTTCGCTTTCCAATAGTATATCTACTGGTGTGTTTGCGTTGAAATGTGTATCCGCCAGCTGCAGATCCTTACATACCTCGAGTGTCGATGCGTCGACATTTTGGCGTTCCAGAGATGAGGTGATTCTGCCTAGCACGTGGGCATAGACAAGCAAACGATAATCGGATATGCGAGACTTGATTTGCAGCGTACTGCATCCCCTTGTCGTGTCTGCTTTTACGGAAGAGATTCCCGTAACCAAAATGCGTGATGCCGACCGTGTCAGTCCGAGAGCTTGGATGCAATAAAAGACGGCACGTTACGTGGTCACCTTTTGCGTTTTTAACATACACCATAGCCGTTGGTAATATGCTTCGTTTGAATTCCGTTAGATGTGTAGATTTTGCAGTGCCTTGTGCACATACAACCTTTTGGGTGCCCGCTCCTTGGGCCAAATGACTGAGTGTCACTGAGTTTGTGTTAGACGTGCTTAAGTTTTGCTCGTCCCCCTCCGCTATCTGGGCAAGATTCCCACTAGCCTATGGGTTCGGTTGGACATGAAGAAGGGAGTGATGATTTCCTGTACATTGCCTGCACCTGTTGACCCCATGACCAGGTCGCAAGCAGTTGTAGCCTTCACAAATGATCGTCTCTGCAGTCCAGACATATCCAGAAACAGCTGACAGCCATATAGAGTGTGTTCTGTAGAACTACATTTGGTGCAGCCACTACTTTCAACCGCAACCATCGATTAAGTTATCCGTTTTGGGTTTTCAGGATGTGTTGTTGTCTTGCTTCCAGTCGCAAGCTCCCTTTTGCTCAGCTCCAGTTTCTCGCAGCGAGAATCGAGAAACTTGAAGAATTCCTCTAGAGTGGGTGAATCTGTCTCCATGCTGCTCTCAATCCACCTGCGTGTCAGCGTCAAGTTTCCCTAGGGCTAGATATATGATCCAACAATCGCGTCCCGTCTGGTTCACCGCATCCAATCCACGAATAATTTCGTTTGCTCCGTCCGAAATCTTCGTTGAACTGTTGCATCGATCTTTGTAGTTGCTGGCAGGCTTATAAAATGCTCCAAAAACGAGTTTACAATGTGCCGTGGACGATTGTATCTTTCCATAAGACGTTCCCATGCAGTGTTGTAAGCCGTGTCAGTAATTGCCAAGTGTCGAACCAAGTTGGCAGCCTCATCAACGAGTAGTGTTTTTAAATGATGGAACTTCTGGGTGTTGCACAAATGCTGTTTGTTATGAATTATGCTTTCATATATGTCTTGAAAAGATGGCCACTCCGTGTAGTTGCCCGAGAACCGTTTGATTTGAATTTTAGGCAATTCGCTCAGATTTGAATTCGCCGTGAGTACCGAGTTCCGAGAATTCGCTAATGTGACGTCACCACCAACATGATCAGGCGTGTTCGGTGTGCTCTGACTTACAGCAAGTCGCTCAAATAGTTGTTGGTTTTGTTGCAGCAAGTTCAAGATTGCATCGTTGTTTGAGTGTAGCCCGTTGCTGCCACTCGCACCGCTTGTAGATGTCCCCGGTTGTAGATCATTACTCCTTTCCTTGAGAATAGCGCTTGCCCTTAGGTATTTTGCTTCATAGACCGCATTGTCAATCTCCGGATCGACATAGCCTTCCACTTCCTCGTGAAGCGCAATGCAATCGCTAAAGAAGAAGATCTATCCGTGTGACGATCTCTGTGTGTGTAGCAATCTCCGTTTGTTCAGCCCATGCCAAGACACGTGTGATGTTGGCCTTAAGTCTGGCACGGCTCTTCACTAATGATTTTAATTGTTCCATTGCAAACAATTACAAATGAGAATCAAAGCACTTCAAAACTGTTGAAGAATCCGGAACGATGGACCAGAAATATGGTTAGAAATATAAACGACTTGGATGTGTGGACTGTATGTAATTTTATTCTTGCCAGTTGCGAAGCCTATTTGATACTGATATGAATTTCACAAATAAACGCCGTCGTAGCAGCGTTGCCAGAAACGAAAAAAGGTATATATATATGTATATAGGTTTTTTGTTACAAAGAATAGAGATGGCATTATGCGCCTAATGATGAGAGGTTATTGAAGACTGCAACCGTTAAGGAACACCATATCTGTAATCACAATAATTATATAAGTTTTGGCATTTTATAATTAAGTTTATATCAAATTGGCGCCCACCTTATGCACAATATTAAGTTAGGAGTGGTAACGTCCATTCTATTTCTCAGTTTTGATTTTACAATGTTTACTTGGCTAAACGCACGTTCTACATCAGCGTTGGACCATGGCAAGGACAACATCTCGGTCGTTCGTTACCCCCAGAGTCCTTAAAAAGTTTTACTTCCGCTGTATTCGGTCGATATCTTCAACAGAAAACTTTTCCAAAATGGGAACAATGTTGAATTTTTTTGAACATAAAATATTCTGAACGGTAAATATATCAATTGGTTGCAGAATCTGGAGGTTGTCAGGTATCCTGTAATTAATTGGAGTTTTTAATTTGTTATATTTTGTAAAAATATAAAAGGCTATAGTTACCTCAGCTTTAGTTGCTTTACAGGTTCAACTATAAAATTAGTGCAGCACTCTCGAAAAGATTTCTCCGAATCATTATCCATTAAAGCATTTTAATTTGCTTTTCAAATGTATATCCTTGATATAAATCTTTGACAACATATTCCACAAAATTATCATCTTTTATTAAGTCCATATTACAATCTGGTGGAATAATGTGCTTCTTTACCGAATTAATGGACAGAACAAGATCTTTTAGCAAGCGCGTCGCGTCAGTGTTATTGCTTTGAAAGCACTTGTTGACTTTTTGCATTTCCATTAGGATTGGTTTTAGGAAAACTAAATTTATGTAGTTTACATTGTCGTCAAACATGGAATGCAGTAATTTGGCCTTATGACATTTTTATTTTTTTGCGGCAAGAAGAAGTTAAAAAACTTCTGCCATTGTTCCAATATTCGTGAAACAGCTAATTCAATAGACACACACTCTGGGTATTTGAAGATAGTAATACATTATATTACTTATAATTAAACTACATTAAACGTCAAAGAGAGACAAACGCATAAAAGAATAACTACGATCTACACTTGGACATCACCAAACCAATGTTAAAACAAGCATACCCATTAGTAAAAATGTAGAAAAAATTAAGACGAGAATAAACAAGGAAGAACGCTATAGTCGAGTACCTCGACTATCAGATACCCGCTACTCAGCTAATGGGACCAAAAGGAAATGGAGATATGCAAGCAGAAAAGCGAGATTGAAATGCGCCACCTAGACTTAAGCGTTATGCATTTTTTACTCTAGAATAAAAATTGTAGGAGCACAGTTTTGGACGGTTTGTGGGCGTTCGAGTGGGCGTGGCACATTTCTGAAATAAACTTGCGCTGCGCAGGAATCTCAGAAAGCCGCAGGCCTAGTCCCAGTACTGTAGCTCCTATAGTTTCCGTGATCTCAGCGTTCATACGGACAGACGGACAGACGGACATGGCTAGATCGACTCGGCTAGTGATCCTGATCAAGAATATATGTACTTTATGGGGTCGGAAACGCTTCCTTCTACTTTCCGACGAATCTAGTATACCCTTTTACTCTACGAGTAACGGGTAGAAAAAGTCACACGAACCTTTTCATTGTTTATCGATTGGTAAACAGTCTTGTACTCAGATTGTCGAATTGCACTCTTACAGAACCAATTATAGGTCTTATAAATTAGGAACTCCAATCCGTCCGGAAGAAACTCATTACAAGCTTGATTTACTGCCAACTGCACAGAGTGGCATACGCGTTTTATAAAAACTATAGACGGTGCGTCCCTATTCAGCTCAGCAAAGACGCTTCTGTTTCTGCCAACCATATCATTGGCATTGTCAGTACCGATTCCTATTAGGTTTTTTATATTTAACTTACTTCTTACACCTTCAGAAATGCAAATGCATTACCACTCTCTAAAGGCACTAGGCTGGGGAATGTAGTTACAATCTCTCCCTGGTGACTAGAGAAATAGTTTACGACGACACCTATGTGGACAAAGACATAGCGATACCATATAATAAGAAACACATACAATATGTACATTTCCACATTTGTATGGAAATTTTTAAGGTCCTACTCTCACCCGCCTATACGGTGCGCTTTGAGGTATTTAATGTATATTAAAAGAAATTTTTTGAAAAAAACGCGTTTTAGGGTCTGCGAATTGGTTTAAAAGTTTATATTTCATACGCACTGCTGCCCTTGATCAAATATATTATTTTCATATGGTTGGCCTTGACTTGGTTTCATTTCTCAAATTCGTTTGCCAACTTTCCACTTTGAAAGCTTTAAAAATTGAAAAAGGCCAGAATTTACAAGACAGATTTTTGAAAATATTGACAATAAGGTATTAAAATCCTCGAGTTGCATAATAAGTCATTTAAAACATTTCGCAAATAATTTTATTTATTTTTGAAAAAACCGTTTCATAAATGGACCTTCTGTAAACACTTATATACCCAAATAAGGAATTCAATATTCAATTATATATATTTATTTATTATTTAAAAACAAATTAGCATAAGTAAATAATTGTAGGGGAGTTTTTCTGTCGTTCGCTCGCTTCGTTAACGCTGCACCAAATTTATATGGCGCGACAGCAGATGAAGATGCCATGGCATGGTTGATATTAGAGCGTTCATTTACCATGATTCTAAAACGGCTTTCCGTGTTTCGGTGAAGCTCTCCTTTTTTTAACATTTTTTAGGCTAAACAAATCTTTGTGAAGCCGCGTTCTGGATTTAATAATATGATGGTGAGACCGGACTGAAATTCCCCTTTGACTCCAAATGTATATATCGCTGCGAAGATTATCGTAGAAGAAAATTTTTGATGATGCCAACCTGCAGTTGCAAATCTCCAAATTGACTATGCACATGCTGCTAAGGTGGTCGATTTGAGCAATAGCTGTGTGTTGTGCTACAAAGAGGCTCAACGCAGCTTCGTAGTCTATTGTCTTATTTGGCAGTTTGAAGAAACGCAACTTGTTAGTCTGACCTAAGCAGTCCTTCGTTTTAGAGTGTTTTTTGGTGGCTGCATGTGCGCACAAATCACGTAACTTTGCAGTTAGTGTGCACTTGCAATAACTGCAGAAGACTCTGGAGGCATCAGTATTGTCTTTGCGAAGCCATGTCTTAAAATCAGGATGCTGAAGCCAAGCATCTCAACATTTTTGCTTAAAAACTTTCGGCATTTTGTCACAAATATGTTTAGGCGTGAACTTGCTCATAAAGATGTCACAGTCAAAGACGATTAGGATCGATAAAAGAAAATCTGGTGTTACATAATATCGATATAAAAAAAGCTGAACAAAGCTGATCTAATATTAAAAAGAGCCAGAATTCCCGCTTCCCGCCGTTCCTAAAATATGCCCGCTAGTCAAGAAAAAAAAAGAGCTGAAAATGGCGGGAAAAAAGCTGATTTGGCAACACTGATTCAACACTCAAAATTTTCTTCATATTTCTTCAGTGGAAACATGTCGTCCATATTGTGTGTCTCTTTTTTTACACGCCTATAGCCTATTACTCACATCGACGAAAACCGCGAGCTAACCATAGGAGTGAGCGAGAGGCAAATACGCGGCTAACGCTTTTCGTAGGGTCTGTTTTTCAGCGCGGTACTCAGATGAGCTAAGGAAATACCAGAAAAAATACCAGATTTCGAGAGTGAATTTTCGATGAACGCCGTTAGCCGCGGCCCAAAGAATAAGAAATTTCATCTTTGGCGGTATTCGTGCAGAAGCGGTGGGGAATTTAAAAATGAAAAATGGAAGAAAAACGGCTAGATGAAAAAGGACGCCTAATCCAAGCTGTTGCCCATTATTGTGGGACTTGACCGACAGGAAGGCGGGAGAAAAAAAGGTCGCCCGCTAAGGGACAGCTGGAGCAGCCACCACCAGCCATTATTGGCCAGCCTATTGGGACTCGGTGCTGGACTACAAATGGCGCGGGAAAGATGGCGAAGCACCCGTGGGACGAGAAGGAGGCCTTAAACTTATAATTTACATAAATAAAAACATTCGTTGAACATTTCATTTATTTGTATTTTTATTTCTTTGTGCACCAGCAGCCTTTTCTCTTTTAAATTGCTCTTACTGAAGTAATACTATAATATTTAACCCTTTTGGTATATGTATTATGGTTGGGATCAAGTTTGGTATATTTTTGCTGGTATTTTTTGCGTTTGGATAAATTGAGGGGGAAAAATACCAACTATGTGTATATATATAGTCCCCCGTGGAGTAATTGTAATATTTTCGCCTTTATTTAAACTTCTGAAGGAAGAAAAAATACCAAAATTTGTTGGACGGAGGATGCGATCGGTTGATTATTTAATATTGGAGTATTGCTTTAATTTGATTTAATATTCCGAGGGAAAAATACTAAAAACATACCAAAAATTGGTGGACGGAGGATGCTATGCATGCAGTGGAGTGCTGGTATTTTTCCCGTTTAAATAAAATAAATTTTACGGAGTAAATACCAAATACCAAAAAATATACTAAAAGGTTTGATGGTAAATAAAACACAATGACCAAAAAATTTTCACGTCGGTTGGTGTAATCTTTTTATTTTATTATTTATTACCGGATGGCCGACGGAAAACTTTAATTAGTCGGAACGGGATGGTGGAGTTAAAAATTATATGTGACTGTATGTCGATACGTGTATATATGTAGATATTTGTATGGATGTAGATATTTATATTTATGTAGATATTTGTATGTATGTAGATATTTGCATGTATGTAATTTTCGCCGGTTTTAAATTTATTAAATAATTATTGCCGGCGGGGTATGTGTTGTTGTGGAAGTTTTCGATTTATTGTGTGTGGACTGTATTTGGAAAAACGAAAAAATATGTGCAAGTATTTTAGCGGCTGCGGATATACAGAGAGAAAAATCTTGAAAAGTTTTGGGGGCCTGAATTGGCAGAACACTAGAAATTTAATAATTCTCATGCTTGGCTTATATTTGCACAATATTTTTTTCTAAGCTTGGAATTTTTTCTCGATTTTGTATATGTGTATGTAAGTATGGATGAGCGGCCAAATGCAATTAAAAAAAAGGAGTCGGAAAAAATTGGCGATATGGCCGCACGTAGCAAAAGGAAAATCGAAGAAAAAAATTGCCAAGTAATTTTTAATTGCCGTTGTCGGACTTAATCGGACTAGGATTTTGGACAAATCGTACAGAAAGTCAAACGAATTATATTTTCGAGTGGCTGACTGCAGACCGGCAATTAATAAAACGAAAAGCTTTACTTATCTTATCGGCTCGAATGGATCAAAATGTACGCCGGGGGGTAGCGGGGTACCGTGGTGGCGCTGGTGGAATGGCGTGGGAGGCGACGGCTGGAAAAACTGGCGGTGTCGGCGGGCTGCTTCGCTGGCTTTCGGTGGCTTGCTGCTGGTGCGTTTGCTGCTGGTGCTGCGGAGGCTGTAGGGGAGAAACCACTCGAACGCGTTTGCCACTTGATCGAAAAATAAGAACTCGAGAAAAAGTGAACTTCGAAAGTAGGCGGGGGTACGACCGCGGTTTATTCAGGTGAACTCCAGAAATCGAACTAACTTATTCTAAGCTCCGCTCTGCGCTCCAAAGCGCAGCAGAGACTTCATGGAGGGAGCTAGGAACAGCGCAGGAGAGCGGGAGCGCGAGAGAGCGGGAGAGCGGGAGAGCGGTAGAGCAATGCAGCTGGATAGCGGGGCCAGTCCAGATTTGCCGGACATTCCGCCCCCCTGAACATTCCGCCCCCCTTGCAATCGCTAGCGTTGCAAAAAATAAAGGAGACTGAACTTCGGCCAGCCGCCTACGCTTCAAGCCTGCGTACAGGCGCCGGAGACGATCCACCCGAACACCGTCTTCTGGGCTACTGGCAGTCCCTCGTCGACCATGTGGAAGCCCGGCTGTCCGCGCCGAGGATCAATGAAATCGTGGCTGGCCGGTGGAAAACCTCATCCGCGAGCGGTAGCTCCTTAAATTTTTGGACGACGCTCTCACTGAGCGCACGGATGGGAGTGCGGATGCGCACGTTCGGCTCGATCTTGAGGACCACCTCCAGCTTGACGGCCTCGTCGACCTTCGAACGAATCGTCGAGCTGGTGTCGAGGATGCTGAGCGCGGTGGAGGAGCAGGCGTTTGGCAAGTTGGCGGATCTTGCCGGCGCGAACGCTGCGGAGAAGCGGGCTGTTGCTTGGAGCGGGACTTTTGCTTGGAGCCGGACTTTTTCCGGGATACAAGGTCGTGCATGTGCAGCAGCGTGTGATGATTCCGGTTGCACGTTCTGCACCGGTCACCGCTACGACAGCTCCCAGTGGAGTGCTCGTGTGCGAGACAGTTCGCGCAGTACTTGTTAATAAGAACTGCCCGCAGCCGCTGCTCTGCGCTCAGCTTTAGGAACCTCTGACACTTCCGAAGAGGATGGATTCCGCGGCAGACTCGGCATCGGTAGGACTGAGTACCTCGAGTACGTCTGCTATCCAGAGCCTGAGCGCTACGTGGACGGGGAGCCATTTTTCTGTTTAGAGTGTGGATAAGGAAAAAACAAACAGGGCTGATTAACACTGACGTGGATAATGGCTACGGACTAAGGTGTGTAAGAAACGCGGCTCGTTGCGAGGTAGTTTTGGGCGGCTCTCTTGGAAGAAGAACCACCTTGGTCACTGGACGTTTGACAATGCCGCGTGTTGTACGAATGTCGACTACGCGGACATTACCATCGGCTCCCGGAAAAACGGAGTCTGTTCTTCCGAGTCGCCACTCATTGAGGGCAAATTGTCATCCTTAATGACGACCAGATCGCCAACACGCAGATTTTCTGTGGGGACTTGCCACTTGTTGCGCTTGTGGAGCTCCTTAAGGTACTCATCCTTCCATCGAGTGCGGAATTGTTGATGGATAGACTTTAAGTGCTGCCACCGGTTCAGAATGGACTTGGATTCGCCCTTTACTTCAGGTTCCACTATGGATAGAAGAGGTCCACCAACAAGAAAGTGCCCTGGTGTCAAGGCTAAGAGATCAGTTGGATCCTCGGACATGGGAGATAGCGGTCTGGAATTCAGACAAGCTTCGATTCTCGCTAGGAGGGTGGACAGCTCTTCAAAGGTGTACTTCCGCGTAGCGGTGGACTTGTAAAACAAGTTCTTGAAGCTCTTGACACCAGGTTCCCATAGG